CCCCACGTAGGTAGTGAAAGGTGAGCAGATCCCCGAGCAAGGGGGTAGGTTCAAGGAGGTCTGTGAGCGCTGATGAGGACTGTATGTAACACAAACCATTAGCATCCTTGTAACTGGACTAAAACTATTCTTGTGATTCAGCTCTTAAGATGTTAATGAAACTAACAATTCATTACTTTGTATAAAAGCATGTTTCTTTTTACCTGCGATAAAATTTTGAGCATAAGAAATTGCCAGGAATACAAGGAACTTGGTCCCTAACTTGCCTGCAAGGAGTTGGTAGAAGTTTAAGGGTGGGAGTGCTGTGACTGAAAAAAAAAAAAAAGCCTCTCTGTGAAGCTCATCTTGTCTTCCTGTGAGTAAGCCAAGATGTGCAGATAGCTTAGGTGAGCTTGAAATAAAATCTGGCCACACAGCTGCATGACTACCAATGCTCCAGGTGAGCAAGTGTCTGGGCTCTAAAACCAGCTGTTGACTCTGCTGAAGGTGCCTGAGAACCCCAGTGCATCCTGCACAGCCAGACAAAATCCTTCCTCCTTGCTAGCCTCCTTTTAGATGTTGCAGACACGGGGGTGACAGCCGGTCAAGAGGCTGCAGAGGGTCCATGCAGGGATGAAGAGTGGTCCTGGCCCCCTCTCAAGTGAATTTGGGTCAGAGCTGGGGAAGAAGCTCTGGGAAACTGGATGGGGATGAGCAGGGGGATCCGGATGGGTGGCGGCTGGTTGTGTGGTCGGAGAGGGTTGAGAGGGTGTCTTGTGCTGGTGGGCAAGCACGAGGGGGCTGTGTGCGCTGGTGGGAGGCAGCAGGAGCCCTGTGTGGGTGAGGGGGTGCCAGGGCTGCCTGGGCACAGAAAGCGTCTGGGGGCTGCTGTGGGTGCAGAGGTGGCATTGGAGCACAGGAGGGATGCTGGGGATGCTGCTGTGGGTGTCACAGGGTGACAGGGTGGTGGATGGCACTGGCAGCTGAGGTGCTGGGCTCAGGGTCTTTCAGCCCCCACCCAGTGCTCCAAGGGTCTGTGAGGGGCACACGCAAGTTCCTCCGGCTGCTGACTCTTCATCCCCCAGGGGCACAGGGGACCCCTCCTGAGTCTAGAGGGGCTGAGGAACAGATGTGTCCCCATGTCGCTTGGGAGGGTGAAACTGCCTAAAACATGGTCTGTCTTGACCTGGAGCTGATGGAAAGATGCTGGTTACATCTCAGTGCCTCCAGTGGAGGAAGCGCTGGATGATGCACGGAGCCAGGCAGCTCACATTTAAAAACCTTGCCAAAAGCATGGAAAATGGTATTTGACTCTTGGAACTTTTTTTTTTTTTTTTTTTGCTCTGTATTTCCTATATTTTTCAGGCAGAAAGGCCCAGGGAGAGTGGGACATCACTGAGATCTTCCAGTAATGGAGGCTTTTCCTTTGTTGAATCCAGGCTTTGATGGGAAGGAAAACCCCAGGACCCTGAATCCCTTGGGACAGCCTGTGTGGGAGAATCACCCACACAGCAAAGGCACTAAATCCTTCAGGGCATGGAGAGTACAGTGCATCAGCAGGCGCTGTCCAAAAGAAGGCAAAGCATCCCTGGCCTTTCCCTGACACAAGGTGCACCAGGAAAGACGAGAGCTATCTGGGATGCAGGACACACAGCATGGCAGCAGGGCTACAAAGCAGCAGGGAACAACCCTGAAGCTGCAAATGTAAGGGCCTTGCAGTGACTGGTGGGATCGCCTCTGGCATCCTTGCCTGGGAGGGCAGGAAACTGAAACACCTCCCAAACAGGACCCAAGGGTCACACCTGGCCGGCAAGCTGCTGGTGAGCTTCATGGTGGTGGGTGAGTGGATGGGGCTCTGCAGGTGCTTCTCTGGTGGAGGCGATGGGAGGAGAGAGCAGGTCCTGCACTGCCAGCACAGCCCCTGCTTTCCCGGGAGGCTGCTCCAGTGGGGCTGGAAAACTGACGGCTGGGGCAGAGCTGAGCTGAGCTCTTCTCTGCTGCTGGTGTCTTTTGGGGCCTGGAAGGGCACTTCAGGAGACACTCTGATCCCTCCCTTTGCCCCACAGTGGGACCTTGGTATGGACTGAGGCTCCTCAAATGCTCTGGTCCAAACCTTGGCACCTGACAAGTGTCTTTCCTACACTTTAAAACCGTGACTCCCTGCACCACTCATCCTGCTTTTTGCCTTTTACAGCAGCACATCCTCCCAGCTCCTTGTCTGCAGGCTGAACAACCCCGGGAGGCTTTCTGCAATGGGAGATGGGACAGGTGACTGCTCCCGACCATCAGTGTGCCCCAAACAATCCTAGACTGAAGCTTGTCTTCTCATTCTCTGAGTAACCAAGCTTGGCTCAGTCCAGGCAGTTCATTGCAGCACATTTGGTTGCAGAGTGTAGTTTAGAGATTAAAAGATGTTCGTAGGAAGTAGTTGTTTATTCCTCTACATCTTTTCAGATTCACTTCTGCAATGTCTCAGGATCGTTTCACCTTTTAAGCCCATCCATGGTCACACAGGCAACCCCTCCCTGCAAACAGGTGGGTGAGTGTCCTGGGACACCTTTTTTAACCAAAGGAAAGATGCGATCCATCTGGAATCTGACATTAGTGAGGACCATGGAGAAGGAGCCAAGTTCCCCCCGGGGATTGCTCTCCAGCCTGCCTCTGCCTCTCGCTCGCAAGCATCAGGAGGTTCAGCTGCGGGGGAGCTCTGCCCGTGCCCACCACGTGCCCCACATCCCGCAGCCCACCACTGCCAGGAGCCTGACTGCTGGAAAGCACAAAGGGTTTGGGCAAGGTGCCAGCTGCTGCCTTTGAAGGGGACACTGACCTGAGGAACAGGGTTTGCAGGAGGACAGAGAGAAATCAAAGCCAACAGAAGAAAAAAGCTTTCAGAAACAGAAGGCTCCAGCTAGCTTGTTTAGAAATCTTCCAAGAGAAGCGGCTGCTGTGAAAGAAATCCTTCTTCTCTTGCAATGACTGTAGCTGCCCTGGGGCATGGAGCTGATACCAAATGGTCACAGCTGGGACGGCTGTGGCTGCCCCAACCGTGAAATCAAACAGCAAACTGCGAGCAGTCGAGTGGCAAGACAAAGGGGTTTTTAATAATGAAGGTGTTGCTGGTAACATAGGTAAGGAAATGTGCTTGCTTACAAGTTTGAAGCTGACAGCATCCCTTTAAATAAGGAAATACATTTGCTGAGAGGAGAAAGTTATCTGGAAAGCCCTGTACAATGACGCAGTGTAGCAGCTAACACTACTCTGTTTCAAGTGCTATTAATATTCTCCATGGACCGGCTTCAAAAAAATCTCTCACTTAGAAAAAGAATTTATTTTTAAAAAAATGCAACCTGTGATCGTCTATCCTAGCAGTGCACTGTGATCATTTGTACAATAGAAAAGTGGTGCTTTAAATAGTGAGTTGAAAGCTACTGCCATGTGCTTTATACAGCATGCAACAACGCCACAAACTGGAGACACAGCAGGGGCTGCAGAGCCTCCTCTAACAGCTCCAGCATTCCCGGGGGGAGTCAGGCTGCCCACAGGCCCCTCGCGCCAGACCTCCTCTCCAGCTGCTGCATCTCCGATGTGCTGTCCTTCCAGTAACACAAATATTAAATACGCTCAGTCTGTAAATAGTTTAACAATCTTTGTCAGCAACAATATTTACTTTGGCAAAACCAGAACTGCAAAGAAGTAGATGTGTCTGTCAAACAGTCTGCAGCAAGTTCTTTGGTGGAAGCCAAGAAGGGAAGCAAAGGCTCCTTCTCACTAGAGCCTGAAGAAGTATATTGCACAGAGACTCAGAGGAGAAATGCTGGTGACTTCAAACGGGAGGCATCACTGCAGGAGAGCATCCATCTCTGACGGCTTCAGGAGAACTAGCTCCTCCAGGCTCAGTGATTCACAGCTGTTCTCCGCATGGACTTGCTCTGGGCTGAGCGAACAGTGACGCTGGAGTAAACTTGGGAAGAAGGGGATGACTGCTGGGAATCGAGGAGAAATGGGAAGAAGGATAGAGGGACGGATGGCAGAGAAGCGGAGGCAACAAAAGCAGATGCTCGCACAAAACCGCAGCCACGCAAGGTGCTGCTCAGCCCTGCCCCACGTGCAGGTCACTGAGTGCCCATTTCTGGCTCCCCCTGCTCCCAGGTCATGTGAGGTGGTGGAAATCCATCCTGACTTCTGGCTGTGCAAAGGACAGCCCCTCCAAAGCCAGGCTGTATTTTCCATACAAATTGCTCCTACCTTGGACTGAACCACTTTACACATCTCTTCATCTGTACCGCACTAGCTGGGACATGGCAGCTCCATGGCATGCCACATCCCTTCAGTACCTGAACCTACAGCCTGAGCATCGGCCTCCGACGTCCAGAGCTCTCTGCTCCAAGGTCACAGGCTTCAGCCCGATTCAGTTCAGACTGCAGCCAGGGCGGCTCCTGGGCTTCTGGATCCCCAGGCACCATAAGGGCATGACAAGGTACCACCAAGAACATGGTGGTCTCCATCTCTCATCCACCTGGAGCAGAGCTGTGCAACACAGCTTCAGGGGCAGAAGGAAGGCAGCAAGGCGAGCCTGGCTGTACAGGAGAAGTGTGCTTATCGCCCTGGCTGGGCAGAGTCTCCCTGCTCCCGCATCCCCTGGCCTGGCCATGGCCAAGATAAGCCCAGCAGGATTGCCCAAAGGGCTGGATGGGCAGGAGGGGAGTAGAGGAGGGGGCGGCAATGGGCTCTCCTCTCCATGATGTCCCATTGCCACCCAGGTGAGGTCTCCTCACCACATAGTTTTGTCATGAGCTGCTCCAGTTCTCACAAGAGTGACTGCTAAAACTGGGAGGAAAAAAGATAGAAGAAACAAAACTGAAGTTCTTGTCAATCTACAGAAGTGTTGTTAAAGGCACTGGTGTCCTCTGCAGGGACATGTTGATGGAGGAAAACCAAAGTATCAGAGCTGTTGTGCTGTCAATTTGCAGTAACTGGAAATTCAAAGAAGTTTATATGCTGGGAAAATGACTCCAGTTTCCCCTGGACATGGCATGTTCTCCGGCATGACAGACACTGTGTTGGCTGCTGTGGGCTTACAGTATCCTGCCTCCACCACCCTTCGCTTCACCACTGCTGCAGGTGCAGGTCCATGCTGGTGTTTAGATTGAGATCAGTAACATCTAGGAAATCAATGTTGAAGATGCTGGGACCTGCGGGGGTGAGTGAGCCAAAGCCAGTGGCTGAGCTGGGGGGCGTGAGGTCCAGCCACTCCATCGTTTCCCATGGAGACTCAGTGAAACTCATTTGTAAACTGGAGCCATCGGCAGGAGAAGGGGAGAGCTGGGTTTCCATGGGTGAGAGGGGAGTCTGTAAAATCTCCTGGGAGGTGAGCAGTTCATCTGCGACTTTGCCGGAGAACCCCTCCATCATTCCTTCAAAGTGGGACTCTTCTCCCCCCATTTTCAGCAGGGTGATTTCACTGACCCTCCCCAGGGGGCTGTGGGCACCTCGAGGTGGGCATCACTGCTGCCCGGACAGTGCTCGAAGGAGAGCTGGGCTGAGGACACTTGCTCGAACGCAGTAGATGACTTTGGGAGAGAAGCACTGGAGTTCCCTGTAGACACCGTTATCTGAGGTACTTTCTGGAGGCAGGACCGCCCTTCCTTGGCATTAGCTTTTGGCATTAGCTGGCATTTCTGTCAACAAATAAGAGGGGCTGGAGGTGCTCTGGCAGTGCCCACCACTGCTGCGAACAGGGGCACCCCCATAGCCCCCCAGCTATTCTCCTGGGCATTCTGATGGAGACCCAATCAGTCCCCTTGGCATTGCTCACCCACCCTCTTTGTGGGAAGCCTCCTGCGTTCCAGCATTCTGACCTCAGCCCCCCTGGTTTTGGACACACCCCAGGGCATGAGCACTGGCAGCTGTTCCCATGGGGCTGGGCACGGGTGGTACATGGGAAAGGACACAGGCAGCACTTTGCACAGGGGAGGGCACTGGCAGTGCTCTGCGTGGGAGATGGCACTGGCAATGCTCTGCGTGGGAGATGGCACTGGGAATGGGGGGGGACACTGGGGGCACTGCATGGGGAGGGTGCTGGCAGTGCTCTGCACGGGAGATGGCACTGGGAATGGTGGGGGGCACTGAGGGCACTGCATGGGGAAGGTGCTGGCAGTGCTCTGCGCAAGGCAGCTGCTCTGCTGTCCCCTCTCTCTGCGCAGTCTGCACAGGCAATAACAAAGCCCGGACCACCCCACCAGGTCTGCACATGCAGGAGCAGGCTCTGAGAGGGCTGAGATGCTTTAGGATTCAATCAGAGTGGCTGCTGGCACAAAGAGGGCAGGTGACAGCTGTACTAAACTCAGGCAGCCCTGCTGGGGTGCACAGAGTGCGCTGAGCCCCACAGACTGACGCTGGCTCAGAGAGGAAGCCCTGGAGGGGAACAGGGAAGCAGTGCGTACCTCCGCTCTCAATCAGCACGTCCAGGAGCTCGTCCATCTGCTGACTTCGTGTCATCTGCTGCAGCAAACGACAAAGAAGAGAGTAGAGGGCATTAGGAGGAGAGTCCCTCCAGCCACAAGCCAGGTAGGTAGCTCTAGACCCCACAAATGGCTTTCTCCCACACAGGAGAGATGCCACTGCAGCACAGGGCTGGCAGCGGCATTCAGGTGAGTGCTGCAGGGCCCTGGGACAAGCATGGCGGATCTGGGGACCCAAGGTCCACCTGCCCTGCGACCAACCCTCTGCTCAGTGACCACCACAGACTGCCTCTTCCCAGGGCCATCAGGACACACTGACTTTTTGGACCCAGCACCTCGCACTGCATGTGCCTCCTTGCACTCCCTGCAGCTCCCTTGGGGCAACACATCATCATCCTCCCCTCCCTGACTGGAGGCTGAAAGGATTTTCTTTGTGCCTCCCTGCTAGCCAGCATAAGCCCATTTTTATCACTGCCAACAGCATCACTCCGTTTTCCTAAAGGCACCGTTGTAACCGGCACTGAGGCTGCTGGCAGCCTCTTACAAGAAGTTGGTGTTCACGGGTGATGGAGACAGTCCTTCCCATGGGAACAGCGCCTCAGGGTAAGGCAGATGGCGTGGAGAAGGGCACTTTGCTACGGGCTGAAGAGGGAAGGTGAGGTTTCCTGGTGACTTGGGAATGCTCAGGAGTCTGTTTCTCACATAGCACTGAGCACCACAAAGAAGAGTACCCCAAAGTCACAGGGTATTTGTGTGGGATGTCAGGACCCCAGGGGGAACTGGCACCTTTCATCAGCACAGAAGAAGCCATCCCATCCATCGTGGTGTCTCACTGCTTTGTGGCAGTCATCCAGCAACTAATTCTTCAAGAAAAGCCTGTTCCTTATGGAATCGGCCCTGTCCTACCCAGAGACCCAATACCGGGTTGTAACTCCTGCAGGTGAGTTACATTAACCACAAAAGAATGCCCTGTGCAGCCCTAGCCCTGTAGAAAATAAAAATCATGCAGTTACCTGCTTTACTGCATCCTCATAGGGTGGAGGCTGCTTTATCTCTGAGAGGGCTGGGCTTGACTTACAAAAACTTGGGGATGGAATAGAAAACTTTTGACCTGCCTGCGTAGCCATCTGCGTGGGGGAAATACAGGGAAATGGAGTCAATGCACAGGGAGGCGTGGCGGGAGGCCCAGATCTGTTTCGCCCCTCTTGAAGCCAGAGTGGTGCCAGGGGAACTAACAATTTTGTGAGTCAAATCAGCTCAAAGTGCCTGGCCTCCAGGCGGGAGAGAGAGAGGTAAACTACCTCCAGAGACCCAGGGCCAGGCTGACCTCCCATTGCTGCCAATGCACAGGCATGATGCTGTGGAGCATCCTGGTGCTCGGTCCAGCCATGAATGTCCAGAGCAAGGGCGAGAAAGCAGTGGGCTGCTGGTGATGGGCTGCACCCAGCTAGTGATGCAGCGCTTCCCTGGCTGCAGGTTCCCTCCCAACCCCTCTGCTGGGGACCCTCTCCATCCTGCCTGTCTGGGGGCATCTCGCAGTGCCCAGGCCAGGGGAGACCACTCAAGAGAGTCACTGCCAGGTCAGCACCTAGGTTTTCCCTCTGCCAAATGCCTGCATATCGGCGCCAGCTTTTTGTCAGTCCCCCCTTCCAGGAGGGACCTCATCTGAAGGCCCAGTGCCTGCTAGCTGCCGTCCCCATCACCTCTAGGCCCGTGTGCCCTTCCCCACTGCCGGTCCACGGCTGCCTCATCCCATCCCATGAGAGCCGGCGCCAGGGGATGCAGCATGGCCCCAGCAGGTGAGGCCACTTGGCCTGGTCATCCACATCCTGTCCACCTTTCTGCGGAGGGTGGCTAGGAGGAACAGTATGCCTAGCTTGGAGGGGAATGGCACTCCAATGCTGGGAATGTTGCTGAGGAGGGACCCTTGCCCCTGAGAGCCCCTTGCAGGCAGCAGAGGAACGCCCAGGGTGGCTGGTGTTGCAGCTGGGACGAGCTGCAGAACACTGTGGGGCCATCCTGTCCATATGCCCCTTGTGCTCTGGAGGCAAGGAGGGAGCTGAAGATGCCCCAGAGCTTTTGGTGCTTCCTGGTGATGCTCGCTGCCCGCTGCTCGCTTGTCCAGAGCAGCCCCACAGCATCTATTGGAGCATCACCTCACAGCACTGTCCCCCCACCTGCTGTACCCACAGCTCTGCCCCACTGCCCAGCTCACCTCTACAGCTCCATGCCCCACTGCTGAGGTCACCCACTGCAAACCCTGCTCTCTGCCCCACTGCCCAGCTTGTCCACAACACTGATCCCCATTGCCCAGCTCACCCAAAGCAACGCTCCCCATTGCCCATTTCACCCCACCAGCAAGCCCCATTGCCTGCTTCACCCCAACAGCACTGCACCCCGCCGCCCATCCCACTGGCAGTGTTGTGCCCAGCTGCCCATGTCACCTATCTCACTGTCCTCTGAATGGCTTAGAGACAACGCTGCGTCCCGCTTTTTGCCACCTCACAGCACTGCACCCCCCTGCCCAGCTCCTGCTGAGCACTGCTCAGTGTGCTCGCTGCAGGAACGTAGTTCAGGAGCTGCCCTGCTTGAGCGCTGCTGCTCTGCTGTGTGGCTGTTGTGGGCTCAGCATGCACTCGCTGTACATCCTCCCTGGATGCAGTGTGCATGCCGTGCACCCCTGCGTGTGTTTTACAGACACAATGACAGGTGCTGCTGCCTGGGAAAGCCTGGCAGGGTGCTGGGATGAACTGGGGCTGCCATCAGCCTTGTGCCAAAAGCTTGTGCTGCTTTTGTGTGCTGGCAGCATGTGCCCCTCTCCAAGCTTTTGTACCTGCCCAGAGGGCTGACTACATGGGTGGTGGTACCTGCCCAGAGGGCTGACTAAGGGGTGGTGGATGCTGAAGGGACAACTCTTCGCTATGCAGGTTGCCTGGTGGGGAGGCACAAGCTCTATCTGACTGCACACCCCAGTTGCAAGCCCTGCTCTATCTTCCCAAGGAAAGGTTTCCCATATGACTGGGGTAATTGCCCCCCTTCAACCCAGCAGTCAAAATCCCTCACACACTGCTAGAAGCCACAATGGCTCAGCAAGATGCAGAAAAGCCCTGCAACACTGCAGCGAGGCTCTCCCAGGGGTGTAGGATCTACGCCAGGGCTCTCCCAGGGGCTGAGGGATCTGTGCCAGGGCTTCCCCTGGGTGGAGAGAGACGTGCCAGGGCTCCATGGGGCAGGGGGAGCTGTGCCAGGGCTCTCCCAGGGGTACAACAAGCCGTGCCAGGGCCTCCCCCTGAGGGGAGAGACAGCTGGGTTAGGGCTCTTTTAGGGCAGAAGAATGCATCCCCGGGGCAGAGGGAGCTGAGCCAGGGCTCCTCCAGGGACACAGGGAGCTGTGCCAGTGCTTAACCAGGGGCAGAGGGAGCTGTGCCAGAGCTCCATGGGGCAGAGGATGCTCTGCCAGGACCCTCCTAGGACACAGGGAGCTGTGCCAGTGCTCACCCAGGGGCAGAGAGAGCTGTACTGGGGTCCCCTGGGGAAGACGGGAGCTATGCCAGGTCTCCCCCAGGGCACGGGAGCTGTGCTGTAGCCCTTCAGGACAATGAGTGTGGTGGCAGCAGGGCTCCTCAGGAGATGCCCTGGAAAGGACCTTGCGGTGCCACCAGCTTCCAATCCGTTGTCCATGTGGGCTACTGTCTGCCTTTCCAGGCAGCCCCACATGCTGCGGTGGCTCCCTGGATACCCACCCTGGGTGCCAGCACTCCCAGTCTGACAGGAAAGAACTCAAACTGGGACGTTTGAATGACTGCCCACGGACATCAGCGTGTTCACCACCACGATGCCATCTGTAGTGCTCTCCACTTACCGATGCTGTGCGAAGGCAAGTGTTGGTCTGTGGGGACCCGCTGCGCCCCTCTGCCTGTGATCCCGGGGACACTGAGAGGAGATAGTGGCTGTTGGGGGACGGCGGGAGGCTGATGTGCTGGGGGCTCTTTGCAGCCCCAAGTGGGGAGTGCTGAGGGGAGCACTGTGGGCTCAGGAATGTCGAGGAGGTGATGGTGCTTTGCCCTGCAGGCTCCAAGCAGTGGCTATTTACAATGTGAGGCAGCTGCGGCACCCCACAGTTACTTAACTTATCCGAGCTGCTGGCTTGGCCTTTCAAGGCAGTTTGTTTAGATGCAAATGGACAGCTGGACACTGCATTTTCTTGCTTGATGGGGACACCAAAGAAATGCTGAGTGGGCTGCTGCTTCTCCTCAAGGCCGTTGCTTCTCTTTCGCTTCTGGAGCTGCATCCGTAGCTCTTCCACCTGTCTCTGCTCTTGCTGCAGCTTCCATGTCAGTTCATTGATGACCTTCTGTTTCTCCACCAGCATCTTGTCTTTCTCTGTGTCAATCCCTTCCAGCTCCAGCTGGATGCTCCCTCCGTTCATGCTGCTCATGAGGCTTTCTTCGGCACTGCCATGAACCGGAGATGGCTGGAGACCGAACTGTGGAGAAGACATGGGCCCATCATTGAATGTATCTGGCAAAGAGCCACTCACAGAGAGGTCAGAGGAGGCTGGAGAGATGGGTGGGGTGGAGCTGGTGCTGCCAAAGTGGTAGAAGCCATTTGATAACATGCTGGTGGAGGACTGCGACTGGTAGCTCGACAAGGTGCTTGTTGGAGTGACTGGGAAGGTGACAGTGGTGATCTCACTGAAGTTTGTCACCACGTTGCTGCTGCACTCCTGGAAGGGCCGCAGCCGTTCCATCAGTGCTGTTTTGGTACCCGACACAGGCAGGCCTCGCATTCGGAGCTGCTGTCTCAGTTCTGACACCTAGAAGGAAAGTCACCAATGATCAGTCCCAATGGCAGATGAGCCCTTTAGAAACCCAACATTTCTAACAAAGAGCCTCAGATCACAGGCTCCCAGATTCTTGCTTAGAAGCTCTGACCCCCCAGGTGCTTACTGTCTCACTTGCAGTCATCAGGTCACCGTGCACAGCCCTGACCACTGCATGTCCTGCAGGACCTCAACCTTTCCTAACAGGAAAGCCTTCCTTCTTCCTCCAGGAACTGTGACTGCACTCCATGAACCAGCAGTGGTTCAAGATTCCCTTCCTAGCAGTAGGTTTCTACATGAGCAGGGGACTTTCACACAGACCAGGAACTACCTGATGGTATCCTTTATTCAGAGAATAAAGAACATTCAGAGAATGTGACCACGTACCTTGGAGACAGGTACTCCATGTTCAGGCACCTGCACACGGTTTAGGCATCTGAGCTGGGGCATCACTGTGGCAAAACTCATGTTATTTCTGCCTCTGTCTAATGATGAGTATCGCCTCCAGGTCTCTGCTCCTAAAGGGACTTGGCCTTCCCCATGGTTGAGGCTCCATTAGCAAAGTATAAAAGAACCATTGATATGAGTGATTCTACCTTATGCCCTGTCTTGCCTACATGAGAGATTTAGATACTGTTCAAAGCAGTGCTTGTAGCTCCAGACTCCAGGAGATACCTGCTTGTGCAGAGAGCTGAGCTCGCCTGCCTGTAATAATCACTGAGAGGCTGAGTCACCAAGCGGAGGCCATGCTGACCTCCCAGCTCCTGGCTGGTCTGCCAGCAGCATACGTGGTGGCCATCAAAAAACGAGCCACGAGCTGCAGGAGCAGCATCACAGATCATCCTTTAGTCCCTGACCTGATGGCCTTGCCTTGCAGCCATCTCAAGTTATACCTAAGGTTTGCTAATACATGTCCTAGAGCAATGCACCCACACGGCACCTGCAGAGCAGCAAATCATGTTTGCAGTTACCAGCTCTGGACCCAGCATGATGTATTCCTGGGTTTGCTGGTCACTCCCGGACAGCTCAGCCTGCATGCTTCAGGGGCAGCAAAGCACATTAACGCTACACAATTCTGCTCCTGTGGTGACAGACAAAATTTGCACTCACTTTCAGATCATCCAGGTTAGACGGCAGAGGGCCAGGCTTGATAGACGAAACAGATGTCTGGCCTGAAAAGGTGGTTTTCACAGGAGAAAGAGGGGTGTTGCTCACAGAAGTTGATGAAGAATTTGAACTTTTGACCATTTGCTCATTTGATTGCCTGAAATAACAAAAGAGATTTGGGGTAACTTGTCTGCCCTCCTGGGGTCTCTGTGCCCAGTGTACCATCTCTGTGCTCCCTTGGGGCTGCTATCTCCTGTGTATGAGACCTGAAGGACCACCAGCCCCAAGGAAAACCAAGTTGGGCTGTAAGGAGATTGCTGGTGACCCACCAGAAGGTCACAGGTGCCTCAACCAGTGCACAAAGCCACAACAGCTTTGCAGGAGGCTGTGCTATATTCCCAAGCTTTTATGCTTCACTTGTATGCATCTGTCCCCTTGCACTGACACAAATGGGTATGGGAGGGGAAAGTTTGGAAGAAGATGGGGCTAAATCCTGGTACTGGCACATTGCCACTCACTTTAGCTGGCCTTGGTGCATCCCTGGATAGCTGAAGTGCTGCTGCTGCTGCTGCTGCTGTTGCTGCTGCTGGCTGAGGATCTGGAGCTGCAAAAAGAGCTGCTGCTGCTGGAGGAGTCTGGCATATGCAGAGTCCATGGGTGGAGGTGACTTCTCTGCCTTCTGGTCCGGGGGGATGTACTGGTGATACTTCAGCTTCTTCACCTTGGGCTTGGTGTCCTTGGGCTTTTTGTGACGGTTCTTGCTATCACTGGACGATTTGGACTGTTGGTCCAAGAAGGAAAGGAATTAGCTGGGAGAAGAGCTCCTGCCACCCCCCTGAGAACTCAGAGGCCTGAGACAGCGACAAGGAAGCTTCTGCCAGCACCCTGACACTCCAGCTCCAAGAGCTGCTGAGCCTGCATATGGGGGACTCCCTCAGGGCCACGTCTCATCTTAGTTGTGCCGGAGAGCACATGAGATGGAGAATGACCTTCTTGTCTGGAATGTATTTCAGTGTTGCCTTGTATCTCCTTCTGCTCCTAGCCCCAGGGGACACTTCCAGCATAGAACCTGAGCAATCCCCTCTCCCAGGGTGCAATACTATATCTTACACCATTACAAAATGAGTTAAATTGCAGTTTTTGTCAACAAGGTTTGTCTCCTTGCATTATTCCAATCCTTAAGGCCAAAGTCCCAGCCCTCCCACGCACGTGGGGTGCAGCACGCAGGCACCTCAGGCTGGGATGCAGCCAGGTGCCCTGGGCTTGTTCCCTCTCCCGGGAGCCTGGAGGC